CCTGGTGCACAAAATTTGTGCAGGGGGGGTTTGGGGGTCCCCTCAGCCCAGCCTGCACCCTCTCCAATCCGGGACCACTCAGGGGATGTTCAACTGTGGGTTTAGGCCCGATCCCGGGGAACCCCTAACCACCTCTACCTGCTGGCCTGATCACCCCTAACTGCCCCCCGCTGCCAGCCTGGTTGCTCCCAACTGCCTCCCTGCAGGCCTGGTCACCCCATGCAGCCTGCTGTTCAGTTGTTTGGTTGTCCCTCACTAACTCCCCTCCTGGTCTTGTCGTCCCACACAGCCTGCCAGCCTGCTGTTCAGTTGTTACTGTGACGATGTCTCAAACAATTTTCATATGCCTCTATTAGTATAGATATGTATATTCTTATTGATTTCAGAGAGAAAGGAGAGGAGGAGGAGGAGAGAGAGAAACATCAGCTATGAGAGAGAATCATTGATTGACTGCCTCCTGCATGCCCATCGCTGTGGATCAAGCCCACAACCCAGGTATACCCTGACCAGGAATCTAACTGTGACCTCCTGGTTCATAGGTTGATGCTCAACCACTGAGCCACACAGGCTGAGCATTAACTGCTTATTTTAATGGTGTCTCATTTAGTCTTTTCAGATGCAGACTATTTCCAGTAATGTTTGGCCAGTAGTATAGCTCATAACTAATTGTTAAACATATATTTTAGACTAATGAGTATATCGTAATGTTAACCATTATAATATTCGGGAAAGAAATTAATAGAAAGATATGTGAATTTTAATTTATTATAAATAATTTAAACTCTCTGAAATATTTCAGAGTAAGCTTGATTTTCAACTTATGTGTTCATGTTCATTTCTTGATTTTGGTAATTAGTTTACCAGTTGGTAAAACAATGTCCTTGTTCCCAGGAAAGGCACTTAGAAGTGTTTATGGGTAGGCATGGTATGTCTGTAACTTCAAATGACTCTCCAATTATAAACACATGCAAATAAATAAATAAACATGAATGCAAGTATATCCAGCGATGCGTCACTTAATGATGGGGATACATTCTGAGAAATGAGTCATTACCTGATTTCATCATTGTGGGAACATCATAGAGTGCACTTACACACACCTACATGGTATAGCCTACTGCACACCTAGGCTCCATGGTATAGTCTGTTGTTCCTAGGCTACAACCCTGTATAGCATATTATGCTACTGAATACAAAGGCTATTGTAATGTGTTACACTACACTGTTAGGACACCTACAGTGACACTAGCTGAAAGGAATTTAAGTTTCACTATACTATGATAAGATTATATAATCTGTCATGTATGAAGTCATTGATTGAAATGTCATTATGCAGCACATAACTGTCTATATAGAGATAGGCACAAACACACACACTAAGAGAACAAGAGAATTATAAAGTAAATATGGTAAACATTTTTTAGATTGGAAATCTCTGTGAAGGGCATATTGGAATTCTTTATCCTTACAGGTTTTCTGTAAGACTTTATTTCAAAGTGATTAAAATATGTTCCTATTGATGGGGAAATAGAAACTGTGGCAGTCTTTTCTTTAGGAAATTTTGACAATGTGTATAAAAGGACAAAATATATATCTTTTGAACTAATAATTTTGGTAAACTAATAATTGTGGCAAAATACATAACATAAAATGTATCATCTTAACCACTTTAAGTGCACAGCTGTATATTCAGTACCTTCATAATGTTGTACAACCATCACCACCACCCATCTCCATAGTTCTTTTCATTTTGTAAAACTGAAATTCTGCATCCATTAAACCTTAACTCTCCCAATTCCACCTTTCCCCAGCCCACCATTCTACTTTTCCTCTTTATAAATTTGACTACCCTATGCACCTCATATAGTGGAATCATGCATTATTTATCTTTCTGACAGGGTTATTTCACTTAGCATAATGTCCTCAAGACTCGTCCATCTTGTAGCATATGTCACAATTTCCTTCCTTTTTAAGGCTAAATAATGTTCCAGGTATTTATAAACCACATTTTTTCTTATATATTCATCTGTCAGGGGACACTCTGATTTCTTCCATGTTTTAGCTGTTATGAACAATGCTCTTATATACATGGGTGCATATAATAACTTTTTGTGAAATATTTTGTTCATGAACTTTTTTGCTCATTGAAATGATACTGCAAAGGCATAAAATAAAATGTTGGTGGTAATTTTCCTAAGCAGTGAGGTGATGGCAATTTAATTTATTTTTGTTTAGTTTGTGGTAATTTTTTTTTTCATGGAACATATCATACTTTTCATTGAGAAAAATAAGTTGCATTGGGTGGTATACGTTCCCCAGCCTAAGAGTTTAGGTAGCCGCACAGTTAAAGGTATACAGCACAGTTGGAAAATTTCTTCTCTGTAGTAACCAAAGTCATAAATTATAAAACTACCATTTAAAGTTCAATAACAGTAACTACACTCTCAAGGATATATGATGCCGTTAATAAGAATCGTGCTAATATCATTACTATGTAAGTGTACCTGATTGTAGGCCAATTTTCTCAAAATATGTACCTGAGATTACCTGCATATCAATCACTTAAAATTATAGTAAAATATATAAAAAAATACTTTTAATTAAAATCTCTGGCATTGAAGTCAGTTAATGTGCATTTGTATAAAGTTGTCCAAGTCATTCTTATTTCTGTGATGTTTGAGAAATCACACTGTACATAAATCTAATTTGTTAGGAACCTGAGGTAAAACAACATGAATAATCTATCTATATATATAAAAACCCAGCGACCAGAATGGCAAATGACCAGAACGACCAGTGGCTATGGCACACACTGCGGCAGCCAACCAGCCTGATCCAGGCCCCAATTGCCACCCCCACCCCCCCACGGCTGGCCCCGCCCCCAACACCCCGATCGGGGCCAGGGTAGGCTGGCCAGACCCCACCCATGCACGAATTCATGCACTGGGCCTCTAGTATTTAATAATTTTCTCTTTAAAAGGATCACACAGTAATTCTTTGAGTAGACCATACCCATTCTTTTAATGAAAAATTCATGTATGTATTTTTGAAGGACATCTTTATTTAAAGTGAGGTGCATGCACATATACTGTATTTGGGAACATTTGAAAAATTCTATTCCTTTGTGTCCATCAGAAGATGACTGTTTTATGTACAATGAATATAGATTTTTGAAAATACAAATTCATGATACAAACCACATGAGGAAAGCCTGTAAACCCATCAGCTGGATCTGAAATAAAGATGAACTGCCTAATTATATTCTAGGGGCATTGATCCATTTGTTTCATTTGTTTATATTCTGTACTTATATCTTACTAGAAGCCCGGTGTACGAATTTGTGCACAGGCAGGGTCCTTAGGCCTGGCCGGCAATCAGGACCGATCAGGGGCAGGCCGATTGGAGCTGGGTTGACTGGGGCCTGTTGGCCAAGGGAAGAGACGGAGGAGGTTGGCTGCTGGCCCCAAGGAGGGAGCTGACCCTTGCCCGTCCTGGGAAAGGGGCCATGTCCACCCTGCCAACCCCCAGTTCCTTGTCCCAGCCCAGAGCCTGAAGGCCCTGGTGGGGTCGGGAGAGGAGGTGACAGTTGCTGGGCCAGGCACAGAAGGAATGGGCACCGAAGGCCGCTGGAGGTGCCCTGCCACCACATGGTTCCCCCCTCCCCATCCTCCTTTCCTTGCCACTGTGCCACCACTGTGGTGGGTGGGTGGCCCCCAGGGAAGTGAGAGGATGGGAGCAAGACAAACCCTTGTGTTGAGGGCTGACTTTCAATAGATCGCAGCAAGGGAGCTGCTCTGCCACATAGGAAACCCCGACCCAGAAGCAGATTGTCTACAAATGGTTTAGCACCAGGGGCCAATGGGGGCCAGCTGGCTCGGTGGAGGGGCCATGGGAGGTTGGCTGTGGTAGTGCAATGACCACCAGGGGGAAGCTCCTGCGTTGAGCATCTACCCCCTGGTGGTCAGTTTGCGTCATAGCAATGGTTGAACAGTCATTCTGGTTGTTCGGTCGTAATGGTCGCTTAGGCTTTTATATATATAGTAGAGGCCCAGTGCATGAAATTTGTGCATGGGAGGGGGTCCTTCAGCCCGGCCAGCATCCTTTTCAATCCAGGACCCCTCGGGGGATGTCCAACTGCTGGTTTAGGCCCGATCCTGCAGGAATTGCCTCTGCCTCTGCCTTGGCCCCCACCACCATGGCTTTGTCCAGAAGGATGTCCAGAAGATGTCAAGTCTAATTAGCATAAACTGGCAGTCGGACACGATGGATGTCCGGAAGACATCCATTCTAATTAGTATATTACCCTTTTATTAGTATAGATAGACTATAGGCCCAGTTGCACGACATTTGTGTACTTGGTGGGAGGGGCTCCTTCAGCCTGGCCTGCACTGTTTCGCAGTCCGGGAGCTCTTGGAGGATGTCCAACTGTCGGCTTAGGCCCGCTCCCTGTGGGGAATGGGCCTAAGCCACAGCTGGACATCCTTAGTGCTGCTGCAGAAGTAGGCTGCTGAGATTGCCAGCCGTCAGCCTGGCTTGTGGCTGAGCGGTGCTCCCCCTGTGAGAGTGCACTGACCACCAGGGGGCAGCTTCTGCATTGAGTGCCTGCCCCCTGGTGGTAAGTGTACCTCATAGCAACTGGTTGTTCCACTGTTCAGTCAATTTGCATATTACCCTTTTATTATATAGGATGTCAAGTACATTTCTTCCAGCATGCTCTTGAACTAAGTGCCAGATGAATGATGATTCATGCTAATTGAAATTATTTAATTTGGGATATATATACATGGTGTACCCCCCAAAAAACATATATACACACTTTGAATAACTATTAATTCCAATGGGTTAAATCTGAAAAGAAAGGAACATCAATTGAGCTACCAGAAAAAAGTGTGTATACATTTTGTGGGACATCCTGTGTGTGTGTATAGAGAGTTGCTTCCTAATTTTTAGGTGAAAATAATCTCTTTATAATGATGCTACTTACTTTCTTTTAATTTCAGATTTTGTTGACGGATCTGTACACCACAAAGCCTTACTTATATCTGTGACTGTCTGTAGTTTCCTGTTGGTCCTTATCATTTTATTCTGTTACTTCAGGTAAGTTTCCAACTTGTAGAGATAGAATTTTGAGTTTATCTTTGTCAACCTACTATCCTACCCTTGGCTCTGTCACCCCAGCTTCCTTTAACCTAATTAGATCTTAGATTTCATTGATAATATTGTTACTATTGATGAGTATTTGTCCTAATGAATCTATTAATACTCATTTGTACTTCAGATATCAAAATCACCCAGATAAATTTCACCCCTATGGAAATTAGGGCAGTTAGGGAATTAAGGAACTAGTTGCTACTGAGTTTGATTCTAAGCAGAGAAATGAGCATGTTGAACTTAGATTGTTCTAGTAATTACTTATTGAGTTAACAATTTCTCTGGTATTGAAAGATTTTTAAAGATTGTTTTAGATAATCACATTAAATAAGTTTAGTTACTATATTAAAGTTAAGTATGGTGGTTATAAATTAAACTTTTAGTCACCTACAAACTTATTTTGTAGTTTGTGTAATATCAAGGACCTTTAAATTCATGTCTCTTGCTTTTTTTAATACTCATTTATGATACAATTCTGCAAATGGGAGTTGATTCAAATAAATTTATTTCTAACCATTGATAAAAAAAATTTTAAAGCTTATATTTACTTATCAGTATTATTGGTCTATATATTATCTTACGTGACAGATAAGGTTAGCCATAATGACTTTTGCACACCAAAATTTATATCTATATTAATTAGGGGGACCTTAAATAGGGAAAGGCTTTAGGGCATAAATATAATGGAACTATACAGAAACATAACAGACTATAGCCTGTTGGGAAATAATCAAAAGGAATGGAGAAGAATTGTGGATGGTTAAGACTGAGTAAAAACATGTAGTTTACTTTAAAGAATCAGTTAGGAAAATAATTATAATTTGTGTTTTGGAAATCATTACTGAGGGAAATAAATACCGAGCATTTAATCTTGCATTGTTTTTGCGTGCTAAAGTAAAACCTGCCAGGATTAATGTTTTCTCTGCAGTGTTCTGCCCGTATCATTGCAACTCAGTGTCTAAAATGATGTTCCTCTGTGCATCTTTAGGTATAAAAGACAAGAAGCCAGACCTCGGTACAGCATTGGGTTGGAGCAGGATGAAACTTACATTCCTCCAGGCGAATCCCTGAAAGACTTAATTGAGCAGTCTCAGAGCTCAGGAAGTGGGTCAGGCCTCCCTCTGCTGGTAGGAGAAGGACATACTGAGTTTAAAGGAATGTTTTCTGAGAGGAAATGTCAGTAAATACAGGGTTTCATTTTACTGAAACAGATAGGGCAGGACAAAGAGGACGTTCTGTGCAATCCGTGAGATATCAGATCTCAGATGCGGGGCTTCCTGATAACATTTTGACATATTGGGGGTAAGGTGATTGTTTTTTAATGTCAGTGTATGGTTACAATCCAGACCCTCAGACATTCTGATAAAGAGCAGATTAGAGAACATGAAACATGGAGCCATCTTCCCTCTGTTTTCAGTGAGGATAGAGTGACTGCACTTTGGCCTGGCTTTTGAAGGCAAAAGGATTACAACCAGCAGGGATCTGAGTACTTTTACAAGGGAAGAAGGCTGCGTTTCAGCCGGAGGGTTTATGTTTCAGGGTGAAGTCCTGGCTTTTCCATTCAGGAGAGGTTTAATTTTCTGATGCTCCACAGTGCCAACCTGGAAGAAAATATATACCGAGTCCAAGGCACTTGCCTTAATGAGAAAAACATTCTGTTCCTTTATGGACCAGGCCAGAAAAAGGTTGTTGGGACTCGGGATGGAAATAACAATTTTAATGAGCAATATTTTCCTTTATAAACTCTTACGATTGATTTTTCTAATCTTTGTTGTCTGGGTCTGGCTTTGGATATCTTGTTTACTTTATTCCTTAGGCCATTTTTTATTTAGTACTAAAAGTAACATTAAAAAAAATCTCAAGGCAAGCATTTATCTTCTAACATTATTTTTGGATATAAAAAAAAGCTGTTTATATTTAATGAATACAACCTGAAGAGTTTGGAGATGACTATATACCTGAAACATCACCATAATCTATGCCATTCACATACCCATCACCTCCAAAAGTTTCCTCATGTCCTCTTTGTTTACTAATATTATTTTATAACAACACTTGATATAAGATTTACTCTCTTAGCAAATTTTAGAATACATACACTACTGTTAACTGTAGGCACTGAAGATCTGTGGGACTTATTCATCTTGCATAACTGATACTCTACTTGTTGACTAATACCTCCCCTGAAGGTAATAAACCAGACAGAAAGCCATTTGTGAAGTAGTCATTATGACCAAACTGATGCTACTGAGGATGTACATTTTTCTTATGTAAAAATCCTTATCAAATTGCTTGATTTTTTTTTTAAATATATTTTATTGATTTTTTACAGAGAGGAAGCGAGAGAGACAGAGAGTTAGAAACATTGATGAGAGAGATACATTGATCAGCTGCCTCCTGCACACCTCCCACTGGGGATGTGCCCACAACCAAGGTACATGCCCTTGACCGGAATCGAACCCGGGACCCTTGAGTCCGCAGGCCGACGCTCTATCCACTGAGCCAAACCGGTTTTGGCAAATTGCTTGATTTTTATTTTGCAATTAATACATATCAAATATAGTTCTTATATTTAAGATATTATACATTTTTAAGACAAGTACAAATATTTAAAACCCTTTTGGTATTAATGAATCAGATACTGGTGCTCTTGGACTTGAAAACTATTTGTTTTCCTCCTTCTAACCCATCTTTCTTATTACTATGGTGCTATCTCTCTGAAGTCTTTCACCTTACTATGTTACTTCCCTGGAAAAAAAATCTAAATGTCCAATAGCATTTA